ATTAAAAAATATGGAGAATGTAAACCCAAAATCAAAGCCAACAAAAACTCCTACCCTCCGACCACCCAGACCTTCTTCCAACAATGCGCCAGAACTGGACTCACCAAACTTATTGGAGAAGGCTCACTGTTCAGTCGCCAAATTGAAAAAGTATTGTGTCCAATTTGAACTTCCTGTACCTTCATATTCTACGGTAAAACTGTCAGCTTACGTTTATTGTTTAATATTTATTAAAACCCTTCCAATTTAATTAATATTCTCTTTCTTACTAATAGACACAAAAAACCGGATCCGACAAAATCATCCGACATATTACAACATGCACGGTTGGAAATACAACTCAAACTGGGATAGCAACCGTTAAAGCGGACTCGAAAAAAATTGCTGCATTTAAAGTATTCACACTAGTGGATCAACCAGGCAGCTCTGGACAAAATAAACCAAGCCCATCAAAACAGAGTATCATAAAAGGTTCATAAAAAGAAGACATATTTACTCTAAACAAAAGTAACCCAAATTTACTCAAGGTTGAGTAAAAAAAGATAGGGTGACACAACCATTGGGTAACATTTATCCACCCATTGGACGAAATTTATCCAACCGTTGGATAAATTTTGCCTACTTGTTCTGGCACCCTATTTTTTTTACTCAACCTTGGCCAACTTTTAGTTATATTTGTCTACAATGTATGCTAACAAATTTTCCTTAAAAAAATTCTATTCAACACGCGATTATTGTAGATACAGTGCCCACCAGCACTAGCAAAGCGGGCCAGAAGACTTCCCCCGATCCGAGCAAAATAACCCCTGCAAAATCCGAAAAACCAAAATCAAGTCCTACTAATTCTAAACCCGGTTCATCTGGAGGCAGCGCTCCACTAAACAAATCAACACCAGATAATACACCGACTCCCAGTAAACCAAAAGTGTCACCGCCGGCCACACCTTCTAATGACGCAATACCCCAACCAGTAACAAACCGACCATTGAAAGAAGTATCGAAAAAGGTATTTTACTACACTGACACTAAAATTGGAGATGGCGGGTCATCCACCGTTTACGAAGGCTATTTCGAAGTCCAAACTAGAAAAGCAGCAGTCAAGATTTGCCAAAAATCGTATTTGAATTCTAAAAAGAGCAAAGAGTTAGAAGTCCTTCGGAAACTGGCGGATCCCAACATTGTCACCTACTACATTATGCAAGACGTCGGTAAAACCAGTTACATCGTCATGGAACTTGCCGACTGTACTTTGACCCACGCCATTGAAAAACAACGCAAAGGAGGTACAACTTTACGAAAAAAATGGGCCTCCGACATGACTAAAGGACTTGCCGCTATGCATTCCATGAACATTGTCCACCGTGACATAAAACCAGACAACGTCCTCATCTTTTTCGGTAAAAACGTGGCAAAGTTAGCCGATTTCGGTATCAGCCGAGTTTTACAGTCAATGACGAAAGGCACCAATACACTGGCTGACGGTGGCACGAGAATGTGGCGGCCTCCGGAAGCTTTAGAAGTAATCGGTACCTCAAAAGAAGCCACCTTCAAGCTTTCCCCAAGTTATGACATATTCGCCTTAGGACTCACCATTTTCTACGCAATGTCCGGTGGGAGACATCTCTTTGCCAGTGATAAAAACGATGGTTCGTCAAAAGCAGAGGCAAACATTTTGAATTATTTGGTCGTCTGGAATCTGGAGTATGAGTCAACGTCACTCACAAACTTGCTTAAAGCCATGGTAAATAAGGTTCCGAAGGTTCGACCCAACGCCAAAGTTGTTTTGGAACATCCATTCTTCTGGGATAGCAAACGCGGCCTTGATTTCATCGAGGCGGTTACCATTGACCTAAAAAATGCTGAAAAACCAATGGCTGGTTCTGGCAAGAGTGAACTTGGCTTCGCACATGACCGATTTTGTAATGCGACTAAAAATCTAGAAAAAAATTGGAGGTCTAGATTATGTCCTGAATTAGAAGCTTTTATGACATGGAAGGCTGCCACTAAGTCTAAATTTTCACTGGAGAATAAGAAATATGGGGAAAAATCGTTCATCAAATTGATTGATTTTATACGAGATTACGATCAACACAATAAAGATTGGACGGCAGAGTTTGAAAATGGGAGACTTAAGAAGGACGGTGTGTTTGGAAAGGATGGGACAAAATATGGAGACTATTTTCTGTCCAGATTTCCCGAATTGGTCACAATTCTGTACACCTTCTTTCAGCAAAACAAATATTGGGGGGTGAAACTTCGACAATTTTATGAGTTGAATAACAAAGAGGGCTTTGAGAAGTGGTGAGACAATGTGGAATTATTCTTAACCGTGTATTAATATTTGGCCATAAAGGTAGTGAGTTTGTTAGAGAATATATACATACATACATTCATACATATATATACATATATTAACATTTCATGCACTAATTCTAAAAAGAGCTAAATGCAGTTACTTATTAATTCTGAAAAGCGCTTTGTATAGCTTCTTCTCAATTCTAGAAAGAGCTAAGTGCACTGTTAAAACAAACTGCACTTGGCTCTTTTCAGAATTAAGAAGCGATTACATTTAGCTCATTTTTGAAGTAATATGACGATATGTGCACAAAAAAACTTATTTTTATTCTAAATAAATTTATTTATCTGTTCAGACATTTAACGCCCTTATTTTAATACCTTTATCCATATTATCCATATTTCTTTGTTCAAATCTGGCCATGTTTTCTCGTAGTAACTCCCTCTAGGCTTTCTTTGTGCAAGAAGGTCCTTGGCCGCGGACGAAATTGCGACTCCGCCACCGTATCATCCAAAAGCGAACCCCATTCACATTTCTGTAGGGATTGAATATTTCCGGCATCACTTTTCGTAATATTTTAGAAGGACCGTACTCATGACAACGTCTCATTTCGCATCGCAACTCATTTAGCAAACTTGCGAAGCACAAGAAAGCCGTGTCGTGAGAAGATTCACAAAATGTGGCTATACAAATCTTTATAAAAACACCTATTTTGATGCCATTTCCATGGGTTTTAGGAATTTCTCTCGCTGGCGTTTGCGAGGATGAGTTTGCGAAATAACAACGTAGTGGGTAAATTTGCAAAAGAATCCTACGGTTTTCCAGCAAGTTGTGCAAAAACTTCTCCAGTTATGCTCAATTTGCGAAAAATATTCCTGGCGCGAGTACGGCCCGAAGTATTTTCAGGCATTGGGGAACGTCCATATGTTAAGTCATCCTTCCTATCTTTACCATATTAAAATTCCATATCCCTTAATGTACACCGTCTACATTAGTAATGCCGCATTACTAATAATTTCTTCCATCATTGTGTTAAAGCTTCGTGCCAGGTTTTGTGGAAGCTCAGCCAAAAGTGAATTTCACTTTTCTTTGAAACCGGGTGGCAATTCCATTCGTGTTTTTAGAAAAACCCATTGTATGCTGATTCCTATAGGTCATCGATTTAGTTCAAGCCCGATGAATTTCCGAACCACACCCCCTTTTGCCACACTGTTCCAACTTGCTCTTCCAGCAGGTTCATTATTGATTTTGTCGCGTATGCTGGGGCTCCATCTTGTTGAAAAATAATATTCTTTTTTCTTGAAGACATACGGCTGTCCGTGGCCTTGAAATATGCTGGGATAGGTTTAGGGTGGGATGGGATAAGGTTATCCCATCCCAGGTTTTCTTCACTCACTTTTTCTTCGTTCGTCACAAAATGAAACTTTGAGATCCCACCAGCACAATATTCATTAGCTAGCAGGATTCTGAGGTTGTGTTTTGGGTGGGGCATCCTATTTTTCGTCCTATATCTCAAATTTAGTGGACTGCATTGTAGATATAATTTGAGCCAACTCTCATCAGTGAAAAGGATGTTTGATACCAGTTTTTTTACCCTCTTCCCGCAGGTTAAAAACCCACTTTTTCAACAATTTCTCCTAATTTTAACCATTCCCCAATATTCTATTTGCTTAAAACGAGTTTTCCCTTACTCCGATATGCCTTCTGACCTAAACTTTTTGTTTTGAGATACTTGTGACCAGTTGTCGTGGAAATGCGCTTCTTCTTCCTTTGAATTATTTTTTGAATTTATTACCAAATCATCCCCACGGCTGTATTAAAGTCACATATCAATGCCGCGATTTACTGATTTTCTTAAGAGTGCATATACACGCCGGGCAGTAATGAATACATAAATACAGATTTTCTAAGAGTGCAGCCCTCTATAATGTACACATATTTATGCATAATACATTCGTGCAAATACTGCAACTTGCGAAAAGGACACGAAATTACTCATAATTTTGTGAACAACAAAATTATTTTTCGTGAGGATAATAAAATAAAAAATAAATGATAAATGTACTCAATGTATTAAACCCAGTGAATTATATGGGTATCTAGTTAGAGATTTTATTCTAAATAAGCAGACACGAACATACATATTCTTAGAGTATTTAATAATAATATCTAGAGTGGAAAAGCCCATGGTAAATTTTGAAAATCAACAACTTTTTTGATACGATGCAGACGAAAATAAGGGTGCATTAATTTCCGTTACCAAGTAATGTCACATAGTTTCAACAAAATTCAAAAAATAGTGACCGGAAATGTGCGAAAAATGAAGGGAATTTCAGTAGAAATTCAAATTTTTGCATGTTTTTTTTCTGAAACTATGTGGCATTGTTATTAACGAAAATTATTGCACCCTTATTTTTGTCTGCATCGTATCAAAAAAATTGTTGATTTTTGGAGCTTTTCCACTCTAGATATTATTATTAAATACTCTAAGTACATATTAATGCCCAGTAGACAATGGATGTAGGAAAATATCATCGCTGTTGAGCAGCACTAAAACACAATAAGAAGACAGCTCAAGATCCTGCATGCATAAGTAAGGAACTAAGTAATTGTAAATTTACCATGTCGTACTCCTACATAATCCATAATTGTGAAGCAGTGACTAATATAGAGATAACTTAACTCCAGTCACGTTCACATTCTCTCTCAAGGAACAAGTCGCATACTAAATTCTTCTAAAGTCTTTATACTTTGTTCTCATTCTTTGAGTAAATCTGGAACATATCAGTATCATCCATCAATAAGTCTCCCTAAGTCTAAATTTATCCAGAATTGTATATTTCCAAGAAATGAATCCAATCGGAATATTTTACCCGAAACGACACCCCAACAACACAAATTTTTACCACACGGAAGAAATTGGGGTCCACAAAGTGTGCAAACTTGGAGATCAAATCGTTATTAAAATGGACGTCGAATTATTCCAGTAAGAAAAAATTAGTTACTAGAGAGGTTGAGCAAGAGTACATGATTGTACTTAGCGCTTGTAAGACAGCGGGAAAATTAAATATTAGTCAGAATTTTAGTAAAACACAGAAATACAAATCTCTGACTCCAATCAGCATTGTACGGCATGAATCTACCCAACTTACGGCAATTTTAAATCTGCCGCCAGAAATTAATCAGAATTACAATCCTACAATACAATATTCTTGCTCAACCTCCAGAATTACAATCATAGATTGTGAATGTGATTCTAGGCTAGAGTGATTTTTTTTACAATCTTGTACTCTCGCTCAACCTCTCTATTAAGTGGTCTGAGCTACTTATTGTGATCACTTTGTCCGTCCGTACGTAAGCAGGATATCTTTTCAACATACTCAAAAACGGTTTTCGTCATTGTACTTCTAATTTTTACTTCCGCGTTGAGATCTATAATGGTGTCAATCGGACAACCCCCCCCACAGCACCAGGGATGTGGTCGAAAATTAAATTTACGAAAATTTTCATATGGGGAGTCATTTTAAAGCAAATTTAGTCACGAAATCAACGACGGTAATATTTTTTATTTTTGACCTCGTTGTCGCGGTCACGTGGTCAAGAGACACATGGATAATATTTTTGATCGTAGGTCAAAGATCAAACATACATAATTTCATATGCTGAGTCATATTAAAGGAAACTCTGACACTACTTTTTTTATCTTCGTTTCGACGGTTTGTTTTTATTTCAAAAACACTAATTCTTCCTAAACATTCTTTCCACCAGTCCGGACGAAATAAATGTGCGAACTTTAAACAACTCCGTCATAATTGAAGGCAATCACGGAATCGGGGAACACGACCATTTATTCCACCAAGTTACCCGCTCCTTCCAAAGGACGTTTCCACTCCCTCCGAACGCAGTTTTGGACCGCTTAACGTGCAACGTCGGACCGGACGGCTGGCTCACCGTGGTCGTACCACTTATCCCAGGAGATGAGGGTGAATTGAAGGGGAGGTTGCACAAAGTGACGCATCCGTTCGTCGATGTGACCCCACACTTGCCAAGTTGGCATGAAACCTTCCAGCTGAAGATGGAATGTCCTGGAGTGAAAATTAGCAAGGAGCAGGTCGCGGTAAGGATAAATATTTCATGGTGAAAATATTTTTTATATTTTCTAAAGCCACGTACAGAGGACGTCATTTCACGAGTGAAATCGAAGACAGTGAACTGCGTGCAATTTTGACAAGATTTCAGGATCCTCAAAAAATAGGTTTTTTTTCACAAGGCTTGTATCGTGAAATCGACCCCCTATTTTCACCACCCTAGATTTGGGAAAACATGAGAAGTCCTTGTACGATACCTTCAATTTTTGTAAACGCGGCTCATTCAGGTCAATTATTTAATTTTTAAAATTTCCGCGCACTAATTTTTTTTTGGGGGGGGGGGAAGTGATATGATCATTAATGGTGATGATGTCCTGGCATTGTGAAACTAAGTCGTGAAATTTCAAGAAACACTTCTCAGTTTTTTTCACGAGGTGCAAGTATCGTTAAAAATGCTTATTTTTTCACGGCTCGTGAAAAATAGGTTCTCTGTACTTGGCTTTAGGAAGGGCGTAAATATGTATTTACATAATTTAAGATATCCCTCGAAATCCCTAAATTCCTGCCGGACGAGGTACAAGTAAAGACCGTGGGTGACGAGTTGATCATCTCGGGAAGTCGGCACGATGATGACGAAAATGTCGTCCAAGGTTTCGGAGGAACCGGGAGCTGTGGCAAGATTGGAGTCAAGGCCAACTTCACGAGGAAATATCCGCTCCCACTGAATTCTAAGAAGGACGCGATTTACTGTCAATTTAGTCAAAATCTTGGCAGAGGCAGCCCGACGTTAAGAGTTATAGTGCCCAGAGTCCCATTAGTCGTGGGAGACGAGGAGATAGAGCATGTTATAAATATTGTGTAATAAATTATGCATCCTCACGATACAAGAGAATAAACAGGAGTGCTGCTGAATTTTTAACGCATTCACGTAATTATTTATCAATCATGAATTGGCAAATTTTGCTCCGGTTTGGTCACCAGTTCCATCAATTCATATCTACAGACATAGGCATACATATAAATCATACCGGTAGATGGGCGAAAACTTAAATTTTCATATATTTAGTACACTGTAAATAAAGTTGAGTAAATTTGCCACCAAGACAACGAATTGAGTCACATTTACTCCCACGAAGGCAAACTTTACTCCAGGTTGAGCAAAAACCTGGCAAATTGGGATAAATTTGAACTTTTATTGGGTAACTTTTACTCAATAGTTGTCCTGCTGGCAATTTCAGTCAAAATTGACTAAATTTTAATCACATTGTTTTAGATGTACCTTGTATGTGCATCATTTTTATTTGAACATAGATAAATAATACACTTTATTGTAAGGTATAATTAGTAAAAATTAAAGTCAGATCCGTTTGATTGTTGGTCACACTGCTGTTGTTACCTTCAATTTTTAAAGAACAAGAATGTATCCATTGCAATGGATACAGACGTGAGCAATGCATTGCTCACGTCTGTCTGCTGCATATAAGACAATGAGAACTGACGATGTAGGCCTCCACACGCATGCTCATAGATTTGTGACGAAACAAGTGTCAATAGATAGCAAGTTTAATTAGTGTAAAGTTTCAGATGCAACTATCCCCCAATGTGCAGGTTTGGCGGAGATATTTGCATCAAAAGAGAGGAAAATTTGTAATGCAAAATTAGGAAAGTGTAAAATTGATGGTATTTTGGGCCTGTTTTCGCCTCTTTAGATGCAAACATCTACGCCAAACCTGGGCATTGGGGGATAGTTGAATTTGCATATTTCATAACAATTAAACTTGTGATCGGTTGACACTAGTTTGGTCACAAAATCCGTGCGCATGCGTGCAGAGGCCTACAATCTAAGTCCATAAGTTATGTCACGGTTGAGGTGGCTAGTGACAAGTTAATTAGCGCCACCTGGGCGTGCAATGGGGACAGGGATGGACTGAAAAACGGAGATTTTTGCGTGACATAATTTATAGACGTCCCCTCACATTAGATACATGGGGAAACCATGGGCAGATAAGTTATCTGAGATAACTTGTAAATTAAAATTATGACGTATGAGTTAACTTATAAGTCATAGAAACGCCATCGGTTTACTTATGTTTACAGTGTCGGACAGATGTCTACGTCCACATAGTCGCGTCAATTTCATTTTCAAGTTGTCACTGAACTACTGAACCAATTTTCATCATTGATATATCAAATTCTCACAAATTTAACGTAATTTCATAGCACATTATTAGTTTTCCGCTAAAAAATTTATTTTAGGCCAGAGATGTATTTTAATTCAAAATGAAAACAATTGGATGGACAAAAGTCAACGTCCAGTCAGAGAAAACATACAAAAAAAACTGTAATTTATAAGGAATGTTATAACAATTAATTTGGAATATTTGGTTGGGCCTCCGTTCGCTTTAAGGACGGCTTCAAGGCGTCGAGTCATTGAGTTTACCAAATTCTTGGTCACATCTTCAGAAATGGTTTCCCAAACTTCACGAATTCTGGATTTAAGGCCCGGAATTCCTGAAAAAGATTGTTTTCTTATTTCTCTTTCAATGTGGTCGCACAGATGCTCAATGGGATTCAAGTCTGGAGATTGGGGAGGCCATTCTAGCTTCGGAATTTTTTTTTCTTGAAGTATTCCATGGTGGACTTGGCAGAGTGTTTCGGATCGTTGTCTTGTTGGAAGGCAAATCGTCGTCCAAGTCCAAGTTTTCGAACAGATTCCTGGATATTACGGTCAAGTATTCCCTGGTACTTGTATTGGTCCATAATTCCGTCAATAAATTCCATTTTTCCTGCCCCACTTGAAGCCATGCATCCCCACACCATTACCGACCCGCCGGCGTGCTTAACTGTGGGGTTGAGATTTTATGGATTCAAAGCTTCTTTTGGATATCTCCACACTCTACGACGCCCATCTGACCCAAAGACATTGAACTTTGACTCGTCAGTCCATAAAATATGTCCCAGAATGTTTGTGGCTTGGAAATGTGGTCTCTGGCAAACTTCACTCGTTTGGTTGCATTCCTCGGTACAATAAGAGGCTTCCGGACTGCTCTGTGGGATTTCAAATTTCCCTTATTCAGTGTTCTTTGGATGGTCATAGGACTAACCTGTTTGCCGAACATCTCCTTGATCTCGGTAGATAGCTTTGGAGCACTAAGTGAGGGTGTAACGTTGACTTTGTTGAGCACGTGGCGTACTTCTCGGTGAGCCAAAATCGGTTTTCGACCACTTCTGACCTTGTTTTGGACTGAACCATTAGCTTTAAAGTTCTTAATGATTGTCTGGATGGTTGTCCTTGCTAATTTATACTTGGTCCATATTTGTCTCTGCGACAGCCCCCTTTTTGTCCACCCTTCCAGTCCTGAATGACAAGATCTCGAATAGCGATAGGAATTTCCTTGCGTGTCGACGCCATCATATTTTTCTGGAAGAAAATTATTTAAAAATTAATGCGGCATATGTTATTGATAGATTTATTAAGTTACCTGATTTTATAAATTGGAGAGATTTTTGTTGTTGACAATTAAAGTGAAGTGGACGTAGACTTTTGTCCGCTCAAATTTCATCCTCTCTCGCTCTGCACTATGATTCTCAGTTTTCCCAGAATTTTCAGAAATAACTCATATGTTTTATGAAATTACGTTAAATTTGTGAGAATTTGATATATCAATGATGAAAATTGGTTCAGTAGTTCAGTGACAATTTGAAAATGAAATTGACGCGACTATGTGGACGTAGACATCTGTCCGACACTGTATAATTATAAGTAAAGTTATAATTTTTGCATAAAGTTTTGCGTCCATGGTTGCCTCATCAATCTATTAATGTGTCACACTTACTGTGAAATTCCAAGTTATATCTGAACGGAAGAACAACTGCCATTTGAAAGAATAAAAATCCGATGCAAAATATCGTAAAAATGATGCAATGCGGATGCACTTCACCACCCTTTATTTCGTGATCTCCGCGTTTCGTCACGACCACGGGGAGGTTGTTGGCTTTGATAAAATTCGAAATTGTAATTTCATCCAAGGAAGTCATCTGAAATTAATGTATTCTTTTCTTTTAACCCTTTAAGGAGTATGATTAACTAAGGAAAATGCATTATTTCTGGCACATTATAAAAATTTTGTGGTCATGGTGCGAGAGAAATTCAGTAGTTTAAGAAAAAGTTGAAGCATCCAAAATTTAACATAGCGTTATATTGGGAAATATCGTCTTTTTCGGCAAGAAAATGTTGAAATTCAACATTTGGTTGGGATAATCCTCCGAAATGGCAGATTTTACATCGCGTAGAGAAAATGGTGAAAATAAATGACATTCCGAAAACGACAATTGTCCTCCTCCCGAATTAAACCATTCCTCAGGAAATAGACAATTGTCCTCTTTCCGACATAAAAGGTTAAGGATGAAAAAATTTCTGAAAACAGATTTCGGAAATGTATTTATTTCTCTCCTTGAAATTGGCCAGGAAAACTTTATCCATTTTTCTTGTTTGTAAAAGTAAAGTAGTCCACGTATTAAGAAAGGGATTTGTCCTTTTACAACAGCAAATATTGTTTGGCTGTACATCGCAGAAAAACAAGGTATGCAGTTCAAATGTTTTTAGTGAGCCTGAAATATAAACGTGTAAATTATCTAACAATGAGGAGGTGTGAGGTGGTTATCTCTGATTTGGACGGGATTAATTTGAAATTGTCCAAGGACAGAAATTAGCCGACCCGTGTTTCTTGTTTTCCAGAATGCGGGTGTTTTAGCGTCTGGCGGGATTTTTAAATTCGTTCTCAGCCAAAATCTGGATTAAAAAAAATGCTTTAATCTTTCGAATTTCGACCCGATTTCAAATATAAAACACAATTTTTGCTCAGAACTACTTTCTTGAATGTATAGAAATTCATTTTCAAATCTTTTTTATTTGAAATTTTCATGATTTTTTAAATTCAAGAAATAACCATTTTGGAAAATATCTTCTGAACAAAAATTGTGTTTTATTTTTGAAATCGGGTCAAAATTCGAAAGGTTAGAGCATATTGAAACCTCCAGATTTTGACTGAAAACCAATTTAGCAATTCTACCAGAAGCTGAAACGCCCGCATTCTGGAAACGGGTCGCCTAATTTCTGTGTCTGAACAATTTAAAATTAGTCCAGTCCAAATCTGGGATAACCACCTCACACTTCTGCATAGTAAGTATATTAATTTATGTAAATCCATGAAGCCAAAAATTTAGTACCACGTGAAAAAAGTTTTTCTCCATGTTTTATCCAAGCTCGAACTAATTGACCAAATGAGTACACATGGCTCAAAAAAAGCTTCAAAGTCGTCAAATGTAGCTGAGCACACGCGCCAAACAAAATTAGTAAGAAATTGCTACATTCAAATGATGGATCGTACCGGAAAGTGCAACATAATTGGACAAGATTTTGAAATGGGAGTTTAACGATTTTCAAATATCTAACAGTGTCCAGATCTTGGAAAAATGTTGGCGGAATCTCTACTTGAGGAGGATAAGTTATAGTGAGACTTTCCAAATTTGGCGTAACGATGGGATTAAGGGGCGGCAGTACGAGAGGGATATAATTTTTGAAGATTTTCAGTCTTGGCATCGCAGGTAATTCGAACAGCGGGAAGTCCGACTTGCAAGCAAAAAAGGCATCATGGGCTGTTCCAAGGGACAATTTCTCCAAAGTATTGCAGACCTAGTTAGAATTCCACAAATTAGTTGGTTCCGTCCGTGATAGCGCTTCCAGCAGTAAGGAGATTGCGATTTACGGAGTTACACTAAAATTCTGACTAAATTTTGGCTAAGTTTGGGAGACGCCGACTTTACGTTTACGTTAATTATGTTAACGTTTCCCTTACTTTTTACGCTGAAATGCACATTTTAGGGGAACCTAGGGTTTCTACACTCTTAGAGACTGGGTATTAAAAAAATGAGCGGTATTGATACGTGACTCTACCGCCTTGGTATTAATCGGTTGTATGTACTACTCTGTAGGGTTGCCGCGGGTAGCGAAAATGCTACCCGTTACCCGGCCCGCTACCCGGAGCCCAACTACCCGTACCCGCACGGGTACCCGTTGCCCGTTACCCGTTTTGAGAATTCGGTTAAACATTAACCAACTACCAAAATAACATAGATTTAATTAATTAGTTACCCTTCTAGGTTAATAAGAACCTCGAGGGAGTGCTGCTAGAAGTTGCTAACGATAAAAATTTTATCGTTAGCAACTTCTAGCAGCACTCCTTAATTTTATCATAAAATTAGCTGTATTTAACTAACTGTTCATGAAAACAAACTTGTTGACTTAGCCAAGAAACCAGTGAGACTTGATGGTTAACATTTTCATTTAAATGACATTTTTATTTAAAAACATTGGCTTGCAACTTCAATTTTTGCTTTAGATCGTATCATGTTTTTTTACTCCTACAAAATCAGGTTAAAAGATCACCAATCCCACATTACTATAAAATTACTGAAATCTTAAAGCAAGTAAGTTATGCTTCAGAAACAATAATTTCTTCCGGTTTTCTGAATTTATAATAGGATAGTGTGAAGTACAACATTCCGATTTTGTTTAAATTTTGGAATTGTGTCGTTCAAGTGAATGCAGGACAGTTTGAGCGATGTTTGGAATTTGTCAAAATATTTGGGATCAAAATTGAAGAAATACTGATTCTTATTGGTAACGAAGCGGATTTTTCCCACTTGTAAAAGTCGCTCCCTTTTCAAATTTGACTGGAAAATGTTTGATAAATTCTTACGATCGCACAAACTGCCTCAATAAACACATTGGTTGTATTGACTGTAACCTCATATTTGAAATCTGAATGTTGCAATTCACACCAGCTCATTGTTTCTATTGCACTGAGACTGTCGCAGAATTTCCGAAAAATTACGCACACTATCAACAATGATTAAATTCTGCATCAATAATGCAAAATAAAATTTCAAAGTAGAAATATAGCTCTTATATAACTCAACTGCTCACTGGCTGCGCAAGGCGAGCTATTTAATTATGTAAAATCGAAATACCCGTTACCCGTGCGGGTAGTAGTAACTACCCGCAGACATACGGGTACCCGCAATATCGTGCGGGTATGCGGGTAACGGGTACCCGCAATATCGTGCGGGTATGCGGGTAACGGGTACCCGGCCCGTTACCCGCGGCAACCTTACTACTCTGGTATAGATTCGGTAATGAAATAAGTAACACTATGTGGTAATCATTTTATAACCAGGTAGTATTAAATTTTGTGCCATTGGATATTAATTTTTTAAATTTATTATCAAATCATACCAAGGTGGTAAAGTCACATTAGTACCGCGTTTCACTGATTTTCTTGAGAGTGTAGGTAAACTAAATCTTTCGGCTTTAAGTGTAAAGTGAGACATAATTCAAATTTCGAGGGAATTTCAACGCTAATTCGCACCTGAAATTTTTTAACCGTACATTAACATTTACGTTAAGCGTAGATTTTTAGTATTTTCGTGAAAATTTAGCGTCCATACCTAATTTCACAATCTCCGTATTATTCTTGGACTTTCTCTTCAAGCTACAAATTTTGCATAGAAAGTTAAAAAAATCTTAATTTTAATTAAGGAAAAACAGAAGTCTGTCAAAAATGGTGTCGAAACTCTGTATACCGTAAATACCCTATTTATAGCCCTATTCTAATTATAGCCGGGTCTCTAATTATAGCCGGGTCTCTAATTATAGCCGGGTCTGAGATAGGCAGTTTTGGATTTTAGCCCTGGCTATAAATAGAGTATTTAGGGTACATTTCCTTAATTTACCTGGTTCAGCATTCCACACAAATTTCTTGCATCAACCAGAATCCCACCTTGTGTGCTTCCACGCACCTCCAATTCTTTCAAGTTCGAATTACATCTTAAATCTGGAAAGTGGACGCAATGAATCGATAAACTCTCCAAATTTGGAGCTTTATATAACAATTTGTTTATAAACTTCTTCTTCAGTGGAGCACTGCCACGTTTCTTCCTGTTACAAATTCTTAAATGTTTCAAGCCATCGTTGCCCCTGAAATTAAGGTCCATTTGACTAAAGTCGGTTTTAACTTGGCACTTTAAACAGTTAATTTGTGGACTTCTCACATTTAAGCAATACTCCAAAAATATGGACACTAAGGTTTTCTCAAATTTGGATTCCAACTCAAAATCCAGACTGGTAACTTCTTGGTGGTATTTTTTCAGAAAACTGAAAATGTTTGTCCTCCCTGCTGCAATACTTTGTTCCCTGGCGTGTTGATTTTTACTCTCAAGTTGACAACGTAACTTTGATATTAAAAGACGTCGACAAAGTAAGGGATTAATTAACGGAGGGGAGACGACAACTGTGCAGCATTCGCCACTCTTTTGGTAAAATAAGTTGCGAAGAGGGAACCAAAATGGGGTAAATGTGACCGATAAGATGGCAGAGTTCCAAGATTTGTTAACCAATCTGTATCTGAGGAGTGAAAAGTATTTCTTCGTAAGGCTGGTTTTAGTTCCCGATTCGTGTAGGAAATGAGTCAAAATTGTTTTCAGAATCTAAAAAAAAATCCGGAGGAATAAATAAAAAATCTGAAAAGTTGTTTTAACCTAAAAACCTTACGAGATAGTTGGAAAGGGCGAGTGAGATGGGGTCAAGGTCAATTTGCAAGGCCGTCTGGGTACTGATACGTGTCAATTCTATGGCTTGGTGAAGGATAAAATTATTCGCCATTTGCTACGATTTAAGGTTTTAGTGCAGAGTTTTAAATTGTGGTGGGTTGGTGACTAGAATACGTATTTATAACTGGAAGTTTTTTTTTGTGTGATGATGTGAATTAATTTCAGAGCAGATTTCATGGTGCATACTAATTTGTGAAACTTGAATGAACGGGATTCTCGTGTTGTGGGAGTCCAGAGAGTCACTGGATTATGGTCCAGTATGGACGGCAAATGGCCTATGCACCAATTTATTGCGAGCTATGTATGCACACTTGGTTTTTAAGAAACAGAATTTCGATCAGAGGAGGTCTCCCAACGTATGCTCACGGAGTTTGTGGCGAAACTAAGGTCAATAGAGCACAAATTTAATTAGGGTGAAATTTGCAAATGGCACTATCTGCCAATGAGCAAGCCTGGAGGGGATATTTACATCGGAAGAACGCGCAAATTTGCAATGAAAGATTCCAAAAGTGTAAAATTGCTGGCCCGTTTTCTTATTTTTTTATGCAAATATCCTGCCCATCGGGGGGTCGCATCTATTGCAAATATCATCTTAATTAAATTTTTGATCGATTGACACTAATTTCGTCCAAATCTGTGAGCATACGTTGGGAGATCTCCATTGTGAGTTACATATACGTGTGCAATCAGTATATTTGGATATGATTATTTATTATCACCTAATTGTATTCAGCTGCACGAGCATGCTCTTCGCAAAACTCGTAGCCAAACCATCACCCGACGCAGTGCAGATATGACTCTACTGTATTTGGAATTAAAATGTTATAACTTGGAATTAATTTGAAACAATACCAAGACTATAATGATACGTCGTATTTAATACTGTGCAAATTTAGTCTGGATATTATATTAAATTCCGCCAGATAAAAAAATGCGCAGTGATTTAACAAAACAGCGAGTAGAAATTAAGATAATTTTGGGATAAATTGTGTATTGTCTGGAACAAACTACTTAAAATGCGATGACGCCAACTGTCTCGCTCCGATTTTGACGAAACTAAGATTATTATGTAGCCTTGCATAAATAATTAGACACATGTTTCGGGATCGCAATTCGCATTTCAATTGATAGTTATGGCTTACAAGAGGTAGAAATGTGAAAAATTGGTGAGAGGAGTGGAGAGGGAGAGGTAGATATTTGAGAAATTGGTGAGAGGGGAGGAGAGGGAGAGGTGGAAATTTGAGAAATTGGTGAGAGGGGAGGAGAGGGAGAGGTGGAAATTTGAGAAATTGGTTGGAGAAGTGGACAGGTAGAGGTAGATATTTGAGAAATTGGTGAGAGGGGAGGGGAGGGAGAGGTGGAAATTTGAGAAATTGGTTGGAGAAGTGGAGAGGGAGAGGTAGATATTTGAGAAATTGGTGAGAGGGGAGGGGAGGGAGAGGTGGAAATTTGAGAAATTGGTTGGAGAAGTGGACAGGTAGAAGTAGATATTTGAGAAATTGGTGAGAGGGGAGGGGAGGGAGAGGTGGAAATTTGAGAAATTGGTTGGAGAAGTGGACAGGTAGAGGTAGATATTTGAGAAATTGGTGAGAGGGGAGGGGAGGGAGAGGTGGAAATTTGAGAAATTGGTTGGAGAAGTGGAGAGGGAGAGGTAGATATTTGAGAAATTGGTGAGAGGGGAGGGGAGGGAGAGGTGGAAATTTGAGAAATTGGTTGGAGAAGTGGACAGGTAGAAGTAGATATTTGAGAAATTGGTGAGAGGGGAGGGGAGGGAGAGGTGGAAATTTGAGAAATTGGTTGGAGAAGTGGACAGGTAGAGGTAGATATTTGAGAAATTGGTGAGAGGGGAGGGGAGGGAGAGGTGGAAATTTGAGAAATTGGTTGGAGAAGTGGAGAGGGAGAGGTAGATATTTGAGAAATTGGTGAGAGGGGAGGGGAGGGAGAGGTGGAAATTTGAGAAATTGGTGAGAGGGGAGGAGAGGGAGAGGTGGAAATTTGAGAAATTGGTTGGAGAAGTGGAGAGGTAGAGGTAGATATTTGAGAAATTGGTGAGAGGGGAGGGGAGGGAGAGGTGGAAATTTGAGAAATTGGTTGGAGAAGTGGACAGGTAGAGGTAGATATTTGAGAAATTGGTGAGAGGGGAGGGGAGGGAGAGGTGGAAATTTGAGAAATTGGTGAGAGGGGAGGAGAGGGAGAGGTGGAAATTTGAGAAATTGGTTGGAGAAGTGGACAGGTAGAGGTAGATATTTGAGAAATTGGTGAGAGGGGAGGGGAGGGAGAGGTGGAAATTTGAGAAATTGGTTGGAGAAGTGGAGAGGGAGAGGTAGATATTTGAGAAATTGGTGAGAGGGGAGGAGAGGGAGAGGTGGAAATTTGAGAAATTGGTTGGAGAAGTGGACAGGTAGAGGTAGATATTTGAGAAATTGGTGAGAGGGGAGGGGAGGGAGAAATTTGAGAAATTGGTGAGAGGAGTGGACAGGGAGAGGTTCATTTCGTAATCAATATATAAATATTGCATACATATAAAATGAAATACCAGAGTGTAGTTTTTTTTATTTCTCGACGCAAGGCGCCGGGGGAAAGCTAGTGGTTATTATTATGCATATACACGTACAAGTGACTTCAACAGCACTTTACGTATACGCCAAAACTTTAGCGATATGCTTACGAAAGCATCCTTAGTTTATGTATATCGTAGTTCTTAGCCATATTGTTTGTTACTATTAAGGAAAATATGTGTTTGCGTGCAGAAATATCGCAATAAGTGTACTTAAACTAATTAGTCCTATCCACATCGATCCATCTTGTATTTATGACTATTAAACAATTAATCAAAGAGCTTTATATCGATATCTTTATGCGAAAACTTTTCTAATAGCTATATTTAAATTGTAAGGTTACTACGTGGCTCAACTTTGGCAAACTTTCTATCAACCTTAAAGTACACTTTGTCGGTTCTAGACAGCTTTTCATGAACAAAGTTGGGATTATCATCTCCACGAATATTATGCGTAAACGTCTGAAATTTTTACAGATAATACCTAGTGTGTCCACCTCTGTTAAAAATATAACTGCCATGACTGTAAAAATTCCAAGCTCTTGTTTTTAATTCTATCAACCATAGATCTTTGCTTGCCACCCAGCCTAATCTTTTTTCCCAGTGCATTTTTCAATTTATACTACACCCAAACTATAAGGATAAAGAATCAAAAACTGGTTCATATTCGTTAGCATTTGACGAAATAAATTATAGCAAATTTTACACGCCCTTATTTTTATATTCCTACTCGTGTTGGATTATTTCGAGTGGATTTCCCCTCAATGAACAATCCCAGTTATGTAAACCCCTTTACCAAAGTTCGATCCACTTCTAATACCATATCCAAAGGTGCCTAATTGTGTAACAATCATTCAGTGGGATTTAATGGTCTACCTCGAATATATTTTGAGTCGATTTGTCACCCTATTAAAGGAACCGGATTATATATTTGTTCAACTTGAGAAATCGGTACGGAAATATGTTTACCCCATCATAAACCCGAGGATAACCATCACCTCGAAAATGTTTCTTTTCGCGAAAAGCTTTTCTACCCTAAACGAAATTTCAGCCATTTGTCTTCCCTGTGGCGGCCTGACATTCTTTATAAACTTTAAATTCACAACGTCTAGATAAGAATTGGATCAAAATTGGCGCAAAATAAATACCAACTTTCAAGGGACCCAACTAGTAAATAGTTTCATATTTGATCCACCTTATGTTGGTGACACTGAGAAAGCTTATCAACAATGTGGCGCGAATTCTGGCAGATTCGCCCTCCACCTGCACTGATATGACTGTCGCAATTAAGCACAATTACACAAGTCGGGGTAACACGGCACTTATCAATTTACCAATTGACCGCTACGTTCTATCCATTGGTTTGATTCAAATCTTCACCAAAGTCCAGGGGCGTACAAGATATTCCATACTTTCTAGCGGGGCTAGATCAGAAGTTTTTAAATTGGCCACGGTTGTTTCAACCCAACAAAGTTTCAATTTTGAATCGTTACTGCTGCCTATTGACTCTGAAACTTGGATTTGCACTGGAGTTGCCTTAGTCGTAATTAGCTTCACAGTTATCGCACTAACCAAGGGATCCAAACATATTGTAAGTAATTTTACTGAAAAATTATTTTGGTCAATGGCTGCCCTCATTGGGCAATTGGATGATGGCTCTGATGTATTTGGAAGTACAAAAACTGCCAAGAAATACGCGTTTTTATTAGTTTCATGGCAATTAGTATCCTTTATTCTGGGAATGATTTATTCTGGTGGGCTCTACTCTATTCTGGCAGCCGTAATACCGCTCACTTATCCTACAACTTTCACTGGCCTAATTCCACACAATATACAGATTTATTCTACTGCTACTATAGGGCAGCATTCCCTTGTGGAATCCTCTGTTAAAGTAGGGATAGAGGATTTGTGTAGACTTGAAGAAGTAAGGGGCCGTCCATAAATTACGTAACGCGAGAGGGGGGGAGGGGGGGTCTCGGAGTTGCGTTACGAGATGTGACGAGGGGGTGGGGGGGTCATAGCCCTGCGTTACGTAACGTAAGAAAAAATGATAAAATCAGCGGTTTTAAAAAATAAGTCTGGTAGTTCCGTTCGATTTCAAACGGAATTTGTGCAATTCGAAAACAGTTCAGACCTTATTTAGCTTTAAATGTGTCGCATACGATTATCATAAGCAAATTTACTCGCACCTTTTTCCTCGAGACATCCCCGGCTCAATTTTCCATTAAAACAGATGCAAACATTTGCCTTTTTTTAATTGAAATATTTTGATTTTTTATTCCAAGAAAATTTAAGAAAAATAAACACTTTTCATTAAAAAATGCGAATACCATAAATACTCTATTTATAGCCTTACGGTGGTATTCTGAATAAAAATTTTGAGCTTGAGTGGGAGTGGCCACTCACACTTTACATGTTAAAAGGATACAAAATGTGAGTCGCCACTCCCACTCAAGCTCAAAATTTTCATTCAGAATACCACCGTTATTCTAATTATAGCCGCGTCTCCATTTATAGCCTGGTCTAGAGGCGAGTATTTAAGAATTTTGGCCGGGTCCCTAATTGTAGCCGGTCTCTAATTATGGCGTGCCTAGTCAACTGTATGTATTAGTAT